AGAGAGAGAGAGAGAGAGAGAGAGAGAGAGAGAGAGAGAGAGAGAGAGAGAGAGAGAGAGAGAGAGAGAGAGAGAGAGAGAGAGGAGGGGAGTAGGAGGGGGGCGCTGTTTTGGTGTCTATATCATTAAGAGCCAAAATAGATTGAATTAGTTGCGTCATGTAATGAAGGAAGAAACACGCGGGGATATATTGTCGGTTTCAATGAAGTACGTGTTTGTTGCTGCTGTTGTGAGTTAGCCTGGAAGCTCTACGGATTTTCCGTACTCTTCGTCTCTCTCCTTCCCCTCTCCAAGAAGAGAAAGAAAAGCCAAAGAGGCAAGAAGGGGAGAAAAGGTGAGGGAGGTGTAGCGGCGAACGAATATGTTCCAGGGGGTGAGACAGTATATCTGGCTTATTGCGCGAACGCCGTACTCCTTTCGGAATGAAAGAAGAAAAAAAGATACTTATATGACCACGTCCCGATAGAGATCTAATATATCGTTTGCTTTGCCTCGAGTTCATGCCGAGGGAGTAATGTGAGCGGATAAGGGAAGCCCCGCTGTATTGCAGCAAGAACCCCTAATGTGCAGCAACGGGTGCAGTAGCTCAGTTGGTACAACCAGCGAACTGTTGAAATATGAATCAGACCGAAGTTCGAGTCCAGATACGATCAGATGTAAACAGAACAAAATCACTTCGAATTACCTGGGGCCGGCCAGTTCAAGGATGATATCTCAAGTCTGTCTCCCTTCAAAAAAAAAAGAAAAAAAAAGAGGAAAACAACTGTAATGTGTATCTTTGTTACGAGGATCCTGTGCAGAAGGGTGTGCGCTCATGGCTCATAGGGTATCCGTGTGTATATAGTGGATGAGCATGTAGAATGATGTGGCAGTTTAATGACGTGTAAGGGAGCGATAAGGATGAATGTGGTGAGGCGTACGGGAATGATAAGGATGAAATGTGATGACGTGTAAGGGACCGATAATGATGAATGTGATGACGTGCACAGGAACAAGAATGATGAATCTGATGGCTTATGGGAATGACTAGGATGAAGGTGATATCGAAGACTTGAAAATCAATTCATTCTTTATAGTGTTCCTTCAATTTACAGAGAATTCCATAAGTCCGTGCAAAACCTGCAAGGGAACAATGAGGATGAATGCGATGACGTGTAGGGACGGCTTAGGATGAATGTGATGATGCGTAGGGACAGCTCAGGATGAATGTGATGACGTGAATGGGCAGATAAGGATGAATCTGATGGCATGCAGGGACGTAAGGATGAATGTGATGACGTGAAGGGACTGCTTCGGACGAATGTGATGACGGGTAGGGACAGCTTAGGACGAATGTGATGATGTGTAGGGACAGGTCAGGATGACTGTGATGACGTGTAGGTACAGAAGGATGAATATGATGGCATGTAGGGACATACGGATGAATGTGATGAGGTGTAGGGACAGGCAAGGATGAATGTGTTGAGGTGTAGGTAAGGATGAATGTGATGAGGTGTAGGGACATGCAAAGATGAATGCGTTGAGGTGTAGGGACAGGCATCCAAGGATGAATGCGTTGAGGTGTAGTGACAGGCAAGGATGAATGTGATGGCGTGTAGGGACACATAAGGATGAGTGCGATGACTTGCACTTGAACAATGAGGATGGATGTGATGACGTGTACGTGAACGATGAGGATGAATTTGATGACATGCACGTGAACGATGAGGATGGATGATGGATGTAACGACGTGTACGTGAACGATAAGGACGGTTGGCTCAGAAATCTTTGTGGCTTTTTGTGAATCACGTTACGTCGTCGGAATGGCTAATGGTGCACGTGTTGCTGTATTAATCCACCAGTCAATTAATTAGTGGATAATCAATTACAGAACGGTTTTTATTGATTGTGAACGTAAACAGGGTCGGATGCGCGTACCCAATGATCCCGATGTGGATGTATCATACATGTTGTTGATGATGAAGGGACGGACACATGCAAACGCAAGCTCAGGCGTAGCGGTTGCTTAGAATGTGCAAATGGAAATTATAAATGATGACGTACATTTCCCGTGGAATGCGATCTCCCTTTACGGAAGGGCTAGTTGATAATGTCAACGTACTCATTGGTAGTGGCGTACTCACATAATTAGGGTAGTGGTAAATGTATGTATTTGGCCTTTGGTTATAGCCCTGTTCAGACTAAGATTTTGGCAGTGTTAGCATTCAGTCCCGCAGCTGCCAGAGAAAGAAGTTGGCAGGCTGTCTGGCTCTCTCTCTAAGTGCCTGTCTGCCTTGCCGATGCGTCGCGGCGGTAAACGGCGACGAGATGACGCCTGCACGTCAGACTGTGCGCACGCTTCACTACCGACGGATGATTTTTTTTTTCATCCGTGGCCCGATGGACCACGGATCAGATATTAAATTGTTCAGAACAGATACTACACTTGATCTTAGCCAAAAGGCCGAGAAAGGTATGACGGATGATATATTTTATTATTATTATTATTATCTTTTTAATGACGGATGATATTTGACTCCTGGGGCACGGTTCCACTAGCACACGAGTCATGACCTGGTGCGACGCCTGCGACACTCCAGAAAAACGAAGAAAACTCCAAAAAAACGAAGAAAAGAGAAAAAAGAAAATTAAAGTGGTGACTTCTCAAGTCCCAAGGTGGGGACGAGCCCGACCTTTGGAAGTGCTGCAAAAGGCTGTGCCATCTTCTTGAACGGTAGAATGGACAGTGGATGAATGTATCCCTCGCAGAAAGTAGCCAGATTCACTTCTTCCATCTTTCTTTATTGCCTGAGGGTGCACCTATGACAAGTGCTACGTGACGATTGCAGTCCGAGTCTCACGTACCACAGAGAGGGTATGGAGTCCCTTGGTGTGCCCGACGGGACTGCCTCCTGTGACGGTTCCCATGTTCAAGCGTGAAGTCCTTATATTTTGAGAAAGAAATGAAGTACTCGAGGGGCTTTCTATTGACCGGAAAAGAAAG